ATAATTATAGGTACACAGGGAAATAGGTGATAATTATAGGTACACAGCAAGGACTTTCGTCAGGGGGACTTTCTGTGCCTGTATGTTATTATCTTGTCAAGGTCATTTGTTTTCTGAATCTTCAATAAATACTGCTGCCTGAGTTCGCTCAGAGCTGGCATTTGCTCAGACGTTTCCCTGCGTCTCATTTCAAGTGCCAGACCACCACAAGAGGGAGTCTGAGGTCATGCATTCCTGCAGTCTCCAGCAACGCACCTCTGTTGTGACTAACATACCTCCCAAATCTCTTAATGTCTTGGCAGACTATAGCTTCATGATGAATGAACTATGTTTATGAAGAAGCACCTTCTTTACTTGGTAGCTGTTATTTCATAAGGGTATGTGAATGTAAAGGAAATAATTCTATTCTATCATCTTTTGAAAGACCAATTGTCTTTGGTTTATCCTTAAGTGATCCAGCTCCATCAAACTACCAGAATTACTTCTATCTCAGCTGGTATTCTAAGAACTGGACCCTATGCTTTTTCCTTTAACATTTGGTTTTTCAGAATTTAATCTTGAGGAGTGACTTTATTTCTCCTGTAAGTAATACAATTATAATATTAATAATGGCTGTTCAAAATTATATGCATTTGATCTAAATTTAAATTTAAAATTCAATTAAACTTAATCTTCATTTAAACTTTGGATATTATCTTGAAATAAATAATAAACTGATCAAGCCAGGCCACTTTTGAGGCAATTCCAAGGAGGCTACTGTTATGATCAATACTCACAAAAAAGGTTACATCAGATTAGCAACAAATCAATGTCTAGCTATTATCTAGAAATATAAAAAAGCCCTGATGCATGATATGAATACTACAGTTCAGATAAAGATTTAAACTCTCTATTGGCTTAATTTTCTCTTTTATTTATGAAAGCAAAATCTAAGCAAGCAAATAATATTTATGGATTGGTAGGTGATCACATATGATAAAGCTTTCCCCTGTATTATTATATAGTGCATTATACATTTTTAAAGTAGCAACAGATAATAAAATCTGAGTGATTTTGTCTTGAAGTAAAGGCCAGGCAGAGCTGGACCTGAGTGGTACCTTGATGGAAAACTTCCACATAATATCAAACTGTAGACTAAGAAAAAACCATCCTGGAGAGAACAAGTTGTACTATGTAGTAATGAGAAGTTTAACTCAATTGGAAGGAAACCTTACTTTTGAGGGAAATATCTGAATATCTACCTTGAATTTATCTTTTAAAAACCATTATATGGTTACCATCATTATATCTGTGTCAGTAAATTTTATACTGACCCCTCCCCCATAAATCTTTTCACATTCATCTCAATCAATAGACATACATTTTAATTCTGTGGGCGGGGGAAATCTCTGCTTGTGAAAACTGTTTATGTTTAATAGACAGGTCAGGAGGGCAAGCTAGTAACATTGGTCCTTAAAGTAACTCTGGAGAGGGACATGCTCCCCAGAAAGGATTTGATTCATGACTTGGAAGTTCTTTTCAACTTTTCCATGAAGAGCAGGTAAAGTATGGTCAGGGTAAATTTTGCCCATCATTGGCTGATCTCCTTACATGGATCAAAATCACCTAGCAACAATAGCTCATGTCTTCACTTGGCTGTACTACACAGAGTTGTTGTGGGTCTTTCCTTTTTGAGAAATACATGAGGCATGGATAAGTTGAAATGGTTTCTCAGTAGTCTTACCCACATGGAATATCTCTCTCGGAGGTATAGAGGACCCAACCCTATTGGCGTTTCATAAATGAAATACTAAAAAGTGCTGTTTCAGTGAGTGTTAGGGTAATTTGAGTATTAGGGCATCTTTGTGAACTTTCCCCCTCCTTTTTGTTTAATAGTTTTGTATATAAGTCTGCACTGTACTATTTTTTCTTTGTATAATTCTGTTGTATTCTATTCAGAGTCTTTATTGATTAGGAGAGAATATAGTAAGACAGACAGACAGAAGATAGATATGGACAGGAAATTTATAAACCATTGAGATCCAATTTTTTAAAGAAATTGTCTAACATAAATATATTACACATTAATAGGCACAACACAAACAATCTAGCCAAAATTACATCCAAGGGGAAATTAAATAAAATTCTAAACTTGAAATTCCTTGTACATTAATAATCAGTATGGGCACAACAAATTTAACTGAGGCAATGATGCGTGGACATTTTAAAACCCTCTCCTACAGGGGTGTCAAACTCAAGGGCCACAGGATGAATTCGACCTACATAGTGCCCATAAGGCTGGCCCACAGGGCTGCCTTTACAACGATGGACTGGCCTATGGTGCCTCTGCCAGCAAAAATGTGGTGGCTCTCCAGCACTCCATTTTTGCTGGCAGTGGGTTGCAGGAAGTGGTCGCAGCTGAAAACGGAGCTTGGGAGGCCGCTGGCAGAGCATTCAGGTCACCACAAGTGCCCCTCAACACGAGTCGAGGTGGCCACACCCACCCTGGCCACGCCCACCCCACCCCCCAAGATCAAGCATAACCCTGATGCGGCCCTCAATGAAATCGAGTTTGACACCCCTGCTCTACTATGTTCCATTTCGTGCTACTAGCAGTTTTGCTTGCATATCTAGTAGCATTTTCAAAGGGGATATTTTTGCTATTCTATGAATCATGACAAAGGAGAAAAGCATTAATCCAAGTCTCCTTATATATCATCCTGGGAAATAAAATATAATTTAGAAATCTTTTAAATAAATAAAATACAATGACCCATATATATTGTCTGAAATCTGTGCCAGGAATACAAAGAGAAAAAGGAAAAGACTCTGGAATTTTTTTGCTGCAGTCCAAGAACAAAATAAACAAAAAAACTGCTGCACTTTTCTTGGTTTCTGCAGATACTGGTATTTTTGACAAGATAAAGGATTATTTTACTGTCCTCACTAAATCAGTTCACTTTGTTAATCTAACTTCAAACTTCCATTTTAAGCTACTTTAGTTTATGTCAAAATTTTAAGCCATTTTTCTCCAAATAAAAACTATGGTTCCAAAAAATTGTACTAAGTATAAAGTTTGAACTTAAGCTTCAGTATTAACTATAAAGTCAATATAAAATATTTCTGTATCTTCCAGGATTATGTGCCACCAACCAATAACCAGTAGTTGTTGACTCTAAATAACCATATAGATTTACTCCTTTATTTATGGAATACTTTAAACTACTACTTGCAGTTAATATTTTCTTAGAGGTTTACAATGTCACTGCACTTTGTTTTTGGATCAAAGAATCCAGAAACTGACAGGATCAAATCAGTGAAAATTTTTAGAGGAATCTTGATGCTTGAACAATGCCTTGGGTTGTGTTTTTATAAGAGCGGCTACATTAATATATGATATGATACAGTACAATATAATATAATAGTGTGTGTTATAAGTCACAGAGCTTAAAAAGTAAATTATTATTATAGGACATCTTTGGGATTATACCTTTTATCTTTCAGATTTATGACAATATATTTTACACATTGCATTTTTCA